TCACTTGACATTCTCATGGTGACATTCGTCCACCATATTCTAGCTTGTCCTCTAAGTAAAGACACAATTCCATCCAACTTCTCCACATCAGAATAGTGGAGACCATCCAACATGATTTTCAAATCATTTAACCAAAGATCCACCTCAGCTGGACCTTCCTCGGTTTCTCCCTTAAATTTGGGAGATCCTAATCCTCTCAACTTCTTTGCTACATTTACTCTGGGAGTTGATGGACCAGGAGGTTGAAAACGCGTCAATACTACATCTAACGTTCTAAAGAACACATCTTGATCAGTTACAGGCACTCCATAAGGTGTCTATTCTTCACCTTGCCTGGCCAGGGCAGGTGAATTACTACTCTCAGCGGGTCGATCATCTCCCGCTTGACTTCGAGAACTATCATGTACGGACATCTATTAAGAATAAACATATCGTTCTATTAGCAAAACGACATACTTCATACTACCCCAGATCAGAAGTTTTCACTATTTTGTTGGCATGTATATATTATAAGACACTCTAGACTTCGGTTTATGCCGAGAATCGACTAAACTGTAGCTCTGATACCATTAAATGTAACACCCCAACCCGTACCCAACCCGGATACGAGTCTGAGATGTCACATTGACTTTTTAAAACATTTTTCTTACAAAATAACAAAACATTTTAACTCATATTAAGCAAATATGATAATATATTATTGAATTATGCTCGTTATAACCAATTTAAGAAAATATACATTTTATGAACAGTAAAATACGGTGCTACAGTAACCTGCTACAGTGCAATGCATCGATTTAATAATTTTACTGACATAAATACGTTTAAAATATTACAAAACTCGATCTGAGCATAAATACTTAATTTACTGACTTTGTTTACATGCCAACCTATTTTCACATAATAATACATACGATTTAATCTACTTCTGATCTGACCTTCAAGTGGAGTTATGTTGTTCTGCTGAGCTTATAATAGATCTCTTTGCTTTTCGGTACCTACGTGTAAAATCACTTACATGCTAAGTCATAGACTTAGTGAGGCATAATAATAATAATAATAATTAAATATAAAAATGATGTCGTAATAAGATGAAATGTAATGAAATCATCTATGCAATCCATGTAATCTGCATAACAATGTATCTTACCAATAATTTCATCAAACTAACCATCATGAATTCATATAACAAGTTCAAAAGGTTCAATAGCCCATGATACAATACTGAGAACCCAAGGTATGTGAGTACTGTGAAGTTGTGCACTATGCTGTCACCATAGCTCGTATAAATTTACACCGAAGTGCCACGTAGAATTTGTCCCGAATGACCGCGTAGAAATGCACCGAAGTGCCACGTAGAATTGCACCGTAGTGCCATATAATATGTCCCTAAGGACCACATAGAAATTCCTTAAGAATCATATATATATATACCAAGGATCAAATAGGTGTCTCAGAAGACCTCATATATGTTCCAAAGAATACATATATGTCCCGAAGGACCACGTAGAATTTTGTCCCGAAGGACCGCGTAGACCCTCTACTCTTGGCATGCCAACTATACCTATAGTTCTCATCGACATAACATGGGCTTTCACAGTTCACATAGTTTATATCGCGTAGACATATTATTTCCATACCTTTATCACATAGACATATCATTTTCATACCTTTATCACATAACTCATATAACTTTTCCTGCATATTCATGTCACATAATACATATAATATGAATTCATGTCATGTATCATAATATGGAATGTGATCATGTGTCAAGATATTGAATCTAGACTTATCACAAGTCTAGAATGGAATATACTACTATATTCATGCTATGCATATGCACTCACCTATCTCTCTTTGCCTTTTCCTCGATCGATCTTACTTGTCACTTGTTCCAGAACTTGTTTAGGCTCGATATCTACAGAATTATAATTTCCAAGACCATTATAAGAAGCCTAAACCTTATAATTTGATACTAATAACTTGAACTAATTTAATAACCCAAAATTCAATTTTCCTTTAGGGGTGTACCGATGCACTATGGATGCATCGGTGCACAAATTAGGTTCGAAAGTCTCATGCATCGATGCATCCCTTAATGCATCGATGCATACTCAAATTTGATCTTAGTGCATCGGTGCTCGTTCTTAGTGCATCGATGCACCTGTCAATAATAAACTGGTTTTACCCGAAAATTCCACAATTTTTCATTAAATTCCTCATATAAAACTCCTTTCATACTACTACACTCAACTACAACCATTTTAACTAACTTTTATCATTCCAACCCTTTAGAATTTCCCATATCTCCATCAAATTCTTAAAACTAAGAATCATACCAAAATTTCCATGTAATCCAAACTTATTTCTAACACTTATAACTTATTATTCACACACATGATAAGTCAAATTCAACTTCTAAATCCATTTATACATCCTTATTCAAAATTTCACTTATCCACTTCCTATCTTTAATCCTCCATAACTTACAAATCTTTGAGTTTCTATGATCTTTTTCATCTCCATCAACTTCTAAATCCATTATTGTTATTTTGCTTTCGTATTTAATTATGGTTACTGCTGAATTAGGATGACTTCTTGCCACGAACAGCCACGCCTTTGGAAGACATTTTCAAGTCTCTCTTCTGGTATGGTTGGACTTTATCACCCATTTCAATTACAGTTATGTTTACAACTGACAGGCTCATGGGGCATATTCTAATATCCTTTTCAAAGCTAGTCGTACAGCCTCCTCTTCCATTTGCTCCCTAGAAACAACTATTATTGACACACAAAAACCGGAAAAAGAAAAGGAAAAAAAAAAGAGGAAAAGGAAAAAGTGAGTTATAGATCCACTATTGTTGAATCTAAACAATCTTTCTTTTGATGCTATTTTCAATCTATTGACAACTTATTGCTTTCTCCATTTAAACAGTTTGCCCTGCCTTCTTTGTTTGAGATGCATGAGGGATACTTGTATACCAGAGGAGAAGATGCTTAGAGATCCAAGGAGGCTGTATGCAGCTGGTCGCCTCTATCATATTGTTGAGCGAAAGCCTTTCAGGTATAACGAGGCATAAGAAGCATAGCTTTCTCTCCTCTATGTTTGCATAGCGCTTACTGAGTTTGATTTTTTATTACTATGAGATCACCTTGCAAGGTCGGATTCTAGTACCGGCTTGTATGTTGGGATGGGTTTCTAAATTCCATTGCACCAATTGTTTTGATCATTGTATAGCATACAGAAAAACAAACAAACCCCATGTTGTACGTTTCTATCTTTTATCTAAGATGTTCTTAAACTAAAAATAAATAAGATAGCAGGATTTAAAATAAAAAAATTCACCACAATGCATATGAAAGTTTGATCTCTTGATCAAATGTTTATACATCACCATTTCAGGTTAGGAAGATTTCCCCCTGTTGTCAGGACAGCAGTGCCGGTTGATGGGAGGTTTGAGCACATTGTTCTTTCTTGTAATGCCACCTCGGATCATGCTATAATATGGATAGAGAGAGAAGCACGGCGAGCTACGGATGTAAGTCTTTTTTTTCCCTTTTTGTTGGGGGGAGTAATAGCTGATGTTTACAAATTTTTTATATACATCCTTTCTAGTGTTTACAATTTTTTCTTAATTATTATTGTTAGCTGATGTTTTTAAATTTTTCATGCTGGTTGAACCAGAACCGGAGGGAAAACCGGTTCGACCTTGGTTTAGTTTTTTAACCCGTGTAATACATCTTATGCGAATCTCTCAGCTTGTTGGTTTCATATGCAAGTACACTGAAATGAAAACTCAAACCTGTCTCAATTTTGCTTCAGTTAATGCTGGAGAAAGATCGGATCATGGAGATCCCAGCAAAACAGAGAATGGAACGGCAGGAGACTTTAGCTAGAGAACACAGTGAAGAGCACAAAGCCGCTCTCCGAAGGGCTGTAACACTGTCGGTGCCTTATGCTTTTTCACCTCCACGATATGGAACTTTCAGTGAGGTAGAGGATGGGGATAACTCCCATAAATCTAGCGGGGATGCCGAATCATCGGGAAAAGTGAAAATAAGGAGAGCTGGAATGAGTTGATCGAAAATCTTTTCGAAAGAGATGAATCTGGGCACATGGTGCTCAAGAGGTCACATAGTTATGATTGATGACGATGATGTACACTTAGGGATTAACATGCACAAAAGATCAAACATTATGGTTGTGATGAACAATATTCATTGATTCATTTGTACTCCTTTCCTTCCTATTAATAATTTTATCTGGCAGTCGTCATAATCCTTACTCCTATGAGCCAAACACAGGTAAATATTCATATTAAAAATAGTCATTAAAATTTAGGAAAATCGTTATTTTTAACATACCAAATGCAAATTATTCATATGGTAAATATATACCAATTTAAAATCTGATACAAGCATTTTTTATTTTTTGTTTCAAGGGAAGAAACCAGTAAGCTATAACTTCCTACATATCACCCACAGGCTGCTGCACTCCATGGCTATCATCATATAGTATTCTTACAATCATATCTGGCGGGGAAGGATCAAAGTTAGTTGATCAAACCATCAATCAACTTACTGATCTCTCGAGCTTCCAATCCAAAGCTCGACAACATGTGGTGGCATGGACAATCCTAGTTCTTTATCCCGGCAAACCTTCTTATCATTCGTTTCAGCAATGGCTGGTCGTACACCCATGTTCCATGAAGATGTTAAACCTTCATAGATTCCCCATTGTTCCGTATCCAAAGTGTAACAGTACCATATGGCCATCGAAAACCTGAACAACTAGCACACAACATCATCTCTTATAGCTCCTCCACAAGTAGCTAGACCAACAGTCGGATGAACATAAATAACATTGGGTGGGACTTGAGAGCATTTGGATGGTTGAATCTATGGATGACAAGCAGGATGAACATAAATAACTCACAATAAAGACAGATTAATCAGAGAAACATCTTTAGCATAAATAACTCAATAAAACATACAAAAGAGTTTCATGGCTTATTCAATGAAAAGTCATCTCGAATGCTGGCAAGAAATACTCTAAGCTCTCTTGCTTTCCTCGCATGCTCTGGTGATTTCTCAGTTTCCGAGTCACTCAAATCTATTATACTAATTTGCTGATCATTCATTTGCTGATCAGCTGCTGTGGTCATTTTGTCTGTTATTACTTCTCTTGAAGCCATGGGACTGGATTTGCTCCGTAACTCAATGTCAAGCAACAGACCTTGTAGTTTCCGGGGGCTCAAAAGATCAATAACTTCATGCTTTGGAACATTCGCACCAGTTTTCCAACATAAGATCGCAGCTCTGGAATCAGCATTGCCTTCTGAATCAAAAATAATAGGGGGGTCTCGGTTTATGAAATTAATCTCAGTTGCTGTGGTCATTTTGTCTTATATAATTTCTCTTGAAGCCATGGGACTGGATTTGCTCCCTAACTCGATGTCAAGCAACAGATTTTGGAGTTTCCGGTCTATTTCAGCCACAGAACATTCTTTTCCTGATTTCTTCGATCTTGATTTTCGTTGGTTTTTCTTCTTTAGAGCTCTTCTATCATCAAACTCTTTGATCTTTTCCGGACAAGCACTGTGGAAAACAGGAAATGAATCATTTATTCAGAGATTACATTAATGAGTAATAACTTAGAAGAATCAAGGTGGATCCCCAAAAATCTGCTAAATCTTTCACAAAGTTGAGGGAGAGAGCTATTGAAGAGTTTGAGATTAGATTGAATATAAAAGAACATTTTTTGTTGTGATATTAGCGTGCAATGATCAAACTGAGATAGTATCTCACAGTTCACTCTGCTATTCATGGCGATCAAGCTCATATGTACCAACATTAATAGATGCCGGTATGCAATTATGATACTGGCAATATACCTCTCTACAAGATCTGCGGAAACTACTGAGCTTTTAACTCCATAGAACTCTTCCCACATCACCTCAAAACATTCTCTTCCTTGAACTTTTCGGCACTTGATAATTGTTTATACAGGGCACTTGACAGGCACCTGTAATGGGAGAGCTTTTAATGGTATGCTATCATTTAAAGATAAGAAAGCATCAACAACATCACAGGAATTACAATGGAGAATTAAAAACTACTCTACGATATTCTGGTTATCACATCAAAAGCTGGAGGCTTACAGGCAATCGCATTCAAACATTTTATCGTAAGGATTTTATATACGAGTCCAGTCTATTTTCTTAACCAGGATCTTAAATCATTTAAAGGTAGTCAAATGTGCCAACTGTGGTTCTAATCAATAGGATGGTTAGCTCCTACCTGTATATTAGAGTGTGTAACAATCTGCTGATGTTATTAGCAACTCTAAACAAATTTCCCCAAAAAGAACACCTTTAAAATGACTTCCAAATGAATGACTGAAGGTACTTCAAAAGCAATAAGTAAGTCTTTCGAAATCAGCGAGTCAACAAGAATTTAGACTGGTAACTGTTCAAGAATGAACTTATATAAATATTAAAGATGGAAATAATACCTCCTTCAATGGAATATTAACATCGAACTGAGATGAAGTTGATCGCAAATGAGTAAATCGACGTAAATCTCTTTCAGCAATCTTAGGAAGAAGATATTTATCTGAGCCATTGATACACCATGAGTTCATATATTCAGAATGCATACTAATTGCATGATCGTATTGATGAATATATAGCAAATGTTGCATACTGTAGATTATAGATCCCTAAATAATAGTTAGTTAAGTTTAAAATTTAAATTTAATTTGTTAGTCTTATCTCAAATCTGTTTTACAGAGTTTTACTTATGATTGTTCTCTTAGAGCTCTATAAGTTAGGGATATCTCTTCATTTGTAAATAAGTGAAATTAAAAAATAAAAATCTTAGAGAAATTTTTTTGTATTCTCTAAAACTTACATGGTATCAGTCTAGGGATTGACGTTCCTTCTCCTCACTGATGGCTTCTTCCTTTTCCTCGGAAATTAATTCCAACTGTGGCTGCCATCCTGGCAGCAATGTACTTGCTTATTCTTCCACCTTTGTTACCGTACACAAACGAATTGTCCATAATTACCTTTAATGGTCCCAATCTATCAAGATGTACATCACGGGCAGACAAAAACTTGGCTACATTACAAGCGGGGTTGCTAAACCTGGTGAAACCAATCCCAGTTATGAAAAGTGGCTTCAAGAAAACAACTTGGTTATGTCATGGTTAATCAACACCATGTCTCCTGGGATTAGAAATTTTTTACTCTATGACACAGCACATGAAATCTGGTGTGCTGTCAAAGAGACGTATTCCAACGCCGATAATATATAAGAGTTATTTGGGATCAAAAGTAAAGCGTCCGATCTAAAGCAAGATGATCTGAGTGTTACTCAATACTATAACACTTTAAACATGTATTGACAACAAATTGATTTGTATGAGACAAGTGTGTGGACTTGTGTGACGGATTGCATAAGAGTTTAGATGCTGCTTGTGGCAGAATACTCAGCACCAAACCTCTTCCTTCCATTGGTAAGATATTTTTTGAGGTGCGTCTCGAAAAAAGTCGCAGGAAATTGATGATGATCGAACCTTCACCGGTAGATCCTTCTGCTCTGCTAACATATTCTGCCAGTTCTAGAAAACCCAGATCTGGTGTGCCATGGTGGGACCACTGCTGTCGGGTTGGCCATCTAAAGGAAAATTGTTGGAAACTACATGGCCGATCTACTTACTGGAAACCTCAACGCCTCCGGCCACAGTAGCATATTTCAACCAATGCTGCGCAATCTGACTTGTCCACCATCAATTTCAACCATCAGCTTGAACTAAAACAGCTTATTAGACAAAATATGTCCTATGTTGACCACGCACCTACGACCATGGATCAGTCTGGTAGTGTATTCTTTCTTACTAACGCTTCTCCATTTTCTTGGGTTATTGATTCGGGTGCTACTGATCATATGACAGGAAACTACGACCTGTTTAGTGATTTCACACAGCCTACTATTCAACGTTTTGTGAAGATTGCTTATGGCTCCTTTTCTTCTGTGTTTCTCTTCCACTTTATCGTCCTTAAATTCTAATGAAATCATGTTGTGGCATTTTTTCCTAGGACATCCGAATTTTCATTTTCTTCAAAAATTGTTTCCTAAATTGTTTATCAATAAAACAGCAGCCTCCTTTACTTGCGATCTATGTCAACTTGCAAAAAATAAGAGAACCTCTTTTTCTCCATTCATGTAAAAACCGCCTCATCCTTTCTCTCAGATTCATATTGATAATACTAATATTTGGGGACCTTCTCCTATTAAAAATATGACAGGGGCTAGATGGGTTGTTTTCTTTATTGACGATCATACTCATATAACATGGACATATTTAATGAAAGCAAAATTTGACACTAAGCATTTTTAAGATTTGTTATCATATGGTTCAAACCCAATTTAGCAGCCAAATCAAGATCCTTAAGAGTGATAATGAAAGTGAATTTTTAACAAATACCTTGGGTTCCTTTCTTCACGAAAAAGGCATTGTACACATTAAATCGTGTGTTAATACTCTTCAACAAATTGGGGTGGCCAAGAGGAATAAACAAACACCTTCTAGAGGTTACTTGGTCCTTGTTATTTTCATCCAATGTTCCTAAACAATTTTGGGGAGAGGCCTTGCTTACTGTCGCCTACCTTATAAACCAATTACCTAGCCGAATTTTGGGATTTCAAACTCCCAAAGATTTGTTACTTCAAGTCTATCCACATTTTAAACCCATGTGTTAGGATAGATGAAGCTCAATTGACAACCGAAAAAGGGCCAAAAGAGGTGAATTGACAAATTGTGTTTACGGAGTAAGGAGAAAGAAAGTATAAACAATATGGAGTATAGACAATATGACAAAAGGATTTATAGTGGTCCAACTCCCTTAATAAAGTTTACATCCACTACCTAAGCTCCTTAGGATTTTCCAAACAAATCCACTAATCCGTTCTTTCTTTTTGAAGGACAAAGATATAACCTTTACAACTCCATAGCTTTTCAAAGACTCAGCTAGAACCAAAAACCCTTTACAAATAAAAATAGAAGTAAACAAAGAAACCTCTAAGGCAGGGTGTTTTCAAATTAAGCTCACAAAACACAACTATTTACAACAGAAAGAAAATAAAAGTGAAAAAAAAAATCTCTTGTGTTGGATTGCTTGGATAATTGTTCTAACCCTTCTTCAAGTGTCTTGAACTTGTATTTATATGTTGGAATGCGTGAAGTCGTTTTTAGCCGTTAAGGATGTTTTCTGTGTAAAATTAACTGCCCAGGACAGAGGGTATCAGTACTCTTATAGGGAGTATCAGTACTACTTCTGTAATATTTAAATAAAACTAGTCGTTACTAGTTGTTGGTCCTGACGACATCGATACTATCCTTCATGGTATCGATACTATTATGTAAAGTAGTATCGGTACCCCTTTGGGTACCGATACCTATTTTGTATTTTGGAATTTAAGCAATCTGGTAGTATCGGTACTAACTTGAGAGTATCGATACTTCTCTTACCTTTGGTATCGGTACCACATGAACAGTATCGAAACTGTTCATATAGTATCGATACTGTAAAAACAGTATCAATACTTTATACGTGAAAAACTATTTTTGTGCTCAAATTCACTTTTAATGGACTTTGAATAATTTTTGAAAAATTTGAATAAATTCAATTCAAATCCAAAAATATTTCGCCTTAATTTGTTATATCAAAACATTATAAAGCGTGGTTCAACAATCTCCACCTTTTTTATATAACAAAACATTTGAAAAATTGTTTTTGGTAAAACTCCCCCTTAATAAAACATTTAATGAAAATGAGACATATTTTGGAAAATGTTAAAGCTCCCCTTTTGTCATTGAGAAAAGTTCCCCATTTATCATTGAGAAATTGAAACTTTCAAACTAGTGTTGGATTACTTGGATAGGTGTTATAACCCTTTTTCAAGTGTCTTGAACTTGTATTTATATGTTGGAATATGTTTGTGGATGTTTCTAGCTGTTGGGGATGTTTTCTCTGCAAAATAAAACTGCCCAAGACATAGGGTATTGCTACTCATATAGGGAGTATCGATACAACCTTTGTAATATTTAAATAAAACTAGTTGTTGGGCCTGACAGTATCGATAATACTATGTAAAATAGTATCGGTACCCCTTTGGGTATCGATACCTATTTTACATTCCGGAATTTGAGCAATCTAATAGTATTGGTACCACCTTTAGAGTATCGATACTTCCCTTACATTTGATATCGGTACCACATGAACAGTATTGGTATTGTTCATATATTATCGATATTGTAAGAACAGTATCGATACTTTGTACGTGAAAAACTATTTTTGTGCTCAAATTCACTTTTAATGTACTTTGAATTATTTTTGAAAACTTTGAATAAATTCAATTCAAGTACAAAAACACTTTGTCTTAATTTGTTATTTCAAAATATTATAAAACATGTTTCAACAATTCCCCCTTTTTGATATAACAAAATATTTGAAAAATTATTTTTGGCAAAACTCCCCCTTAATAAAACATTTAATGAAAAAGAGACATATTTTGGAAAATGTTAAAGCTCCCCCTTTATCATTGAGAAATTGAATTTTTCAAAACATATTTCTCCCCCTTTTTGTTATATAAAACATAATTCGATTTTAATGTTTAAAAATAACAATGGAGGGTAAATGGTAACTTTTATAATAAAAACATTTGAAAAATCAAAAACTCCCCCTAAATAAAAGCATTCCAAATGAAAAAAAAATTGACTTTAAAAGCTTGACACTTAAATAAAATTGAATTTTAACAATGAATAACAAACATATTAGTAGAAACTGAAATTCAATATATCCAAGTCTAATAAACTTTATACAACATCAATTGTTGAAATTAAGTGCATATGCATAAAGCTTTCAAAAATGTTATGCATTTAAAAATTTTGATAATAATTGTTAAAGAGATATCATTTGCATTTTAAACAAATGCATAAACTGTAATACCCCAAATATAAGGTCAGTGACTTTATTAAAAATATTTAAAATTGGAGGATTAATTTGAATAAATGATAAAGGATAATAAATGATTTAGAAATAGTGTTTAAGACCAATTAGTAACAATGGATGAGTAAAGAGGGCATTTTGGTCCTTTAAGGGGAAATGAATTTAAAATTCATTTTATTAGGGATTTAAGAAGGAAAACAGGGGAATGTTAAAACTAAACTAAGTCATCTATTCTTTTTCTTCTTCCATTGCTCACGTGCTCTCCCTATAGCCAAGGTAAGTTTTCTTTGAGTTAATTTATTCT